ATGAGCAAAATTTTAGGTTTTTAAAGCTAATCAGCCTCTCTTTTGGCAACATTTCTTCGAATAGCCTACTAAATAGCTTTTTGAATCTTTAAAATACATAAACAAAATAAATGTAGTAGGTAATATAAATATGACTAAAACACTTGTGTTCCTCTGATAAAAGTGGCTCTCAAGAAATATAAAAAGTTAGATTGCTTTTCCACTAGAATACCGAGATGATCTTCACCAGTATTTTGAATCTCACTTACCTAATATTTGTTAAAGGACCTACCATTTTCTTTTTGTTTGTTTTAATTCTTTTTTATTATTCTTTGGGGGGCACCTGAGTGGCTCAGTTGTTAAGCATCTGACTTTGGCTCACGTCATGCTCTCTTAGTCCATGAGTTAGAGTCCTGTGCCTGGCTCTGCCCTGACAGCTCAGAACCTGGAGCCTGCTTGGGATTTTGTGTCTCCCTCTGTGCCCTTCCCCTGCTCTTTCTCGCTCTCTCTTTCTAAAATAAACATTAAAAAAAAAAAGAAAATACCAAGATGATCTTCACTGGTGTGTTGAATTTCACTTACCTAGTATTTCTTTTTTTTTTTTTAGTTTTTTTTTTTTTTAACATCTATTTATTTTTGAGAGACAGAGAGAGAGACCACAAGCAGGGGAGGAGCAGAGAGAGAGGGAGGCACAGAATCCAAACCAGGCTCCAGGCTTTAAGCTGCCAGCACAGAGCTCAACGTGGGGCTCGAACTCATGGACCGTGAGATCATGACCTGAGCTGAAGTTGGCCACTCAACCAACTGAGCCACCCGGACACCCCACTTACCTAGTATTTCTTAAAGGACCTACCATTTTCTTTTTTGCTTGTTTTTTTAATTGTTTTTTTAATTCTTTTTTAATGTTTTTATTTAAATTTCAGTTAACACAGTGTAATATTGGTTTCAGGTGTACAGTATAATGATTTAGCACTTCCTTACAACACCTGATGCTCATCACAAGTGCGCTCCTTATTCCCTATCACCTATTTAATCCATCCCCCACTCCTTTCCCCTGTGGTAACCATCATTTTGCTCTGTATAGTTAAGAGTCTGTTTTTTGGTATGCCTCCCTCTCTCTCTCTCTCTTTTTTTTTTTTTTACTTTGCTCATTTGTGTTTCTTAAATTACATCGATGAGTGAAATCATATGGTATTTGTTGGTCTCTGACTTATTTCACTTAGCATAGTACTCTCTAGCTCCACCTATGTCGTTGCAAATGGCAAGATTTCATTCTTTTTTATGGCCGAGTAATATTCCATTGTATATATACCACATCTTTATCCATTCATCAGTCTATGTACACTTGGGCTGTTCCCATAATTTGGCTATTACAGACAATGCTGCTATAAACATTGGGGTACATTTATCCCCAATAAAAAATTAGTATATATATATTTTTATTCTTCGGGTAAATATCTACTATTGCAATTGCTGGATCATAGGGTAGGTCTATTTTTTTACTTTTTGAGGAACCTCTATACTGTTGTCCAGAGTGACTGCACCAGTTTGCATTCTCACCAACAGTGCAAGAGGGTTCTGCTTTCTCCACATCCTCACCAACAGCTGTTGTTTCTCATATTGTTGATTTTAGCCAGTTCTGTCCCGTGTGAGGTGATATCTTATAGTTTTGATTTGTATTTCCTTAATGATCAGTGATGTTGAGCATCTTTTCATGTGTGTCTTGGCCATCTGGATGTGTTCTTTAGGAAAATGTCTATCATGTCTTCTGCCCATTTTCTAATTAGATTATTTGGGTTTTTTTGCATGTTGAGTTCTATAAATTCTTTATATATTTTGGATACTAACCCTTTATCAGATATTTCATTTGCAAATGTCTTCTCCCGTTCCTAAATTGCCTTAGTTTTATTGATTGTTTACTTTTCTGTGCAGAAGCTTATTTTGATGAAGTCCCAATATTTTATTTTTGCTTTTGTCCCTTGCCTCAGGAGACCTATCTAGAAAAAGGTTACTGCCTCTGTTCTCCTCTAGGGTTTTTGTAGTTTCAGGTCTCACATTGAGGTCTTTCATCCATGCTGAATTTATTTTTGTGTCCTGTGTCAGAAAATGTTCCGGTTTCATTCTTTTGCATGTTGCTGTCCAGTTTTCCCAGCATCATTTGTTGAAGTCACCATCTTTTTCCCATTGGATATTCTTTCCTGGTTTGTCAGAGATTAGTTGACCATATATTTGTTGATTCATTTCTGACTTTCTAGTCTGTTCCACTGATGTGTCTATTTTTGTGCCAGTACTATACTGTTTTGATCACTACAGCTTTGTAATATAACTTAAGTCTGGAACTGTGAAGCCTCCAGCTTTGCTTTCTTTTTCAAGGAGGACCTATCATTTTTTTAAAGGAAATTTGCCTGAAGGATTTATTTATAACCATAGAATTAATAGAAGCAGCATTTCTCCCTACTTGTGGTCATATGCCTTGTAATCCACTTGTGGCTTTATTCTACATGTGTTAATGTGTTCTGCATCAAACTGAGTCATTGTTTCAAGCAGCACAGCATATTCTTTGTAAAGTTTTTTATATATTACCAGTCTATATAAGTGGATATTATCACCCAGTAGCTATGTCATATATCCCATAAACATGGTTAAAGAGATTTATAAGGAGTTCCTTCTGCAAGAAGCCACTTATAATTTACTTAGTGTTGGTTGTATTTTCATGAGTGGTTTTTCATATGATAACAAGCCCTGTTTTGTGCATTTTACAATTTTGTACCAGAACCTTTTAACTTTAAAAAAAATGTTTCATTGAGGAACCTTATCCTTAGGGACACATTCTTTATGTTAAGTATCTTGATTTTTAGGATTTTAAAGGGTTAATGCATTACATCCCTTTCCCTCTTTTGGAGCCACTAGAGAAATAAGAAAATTCATTATTTCGGGGCCAAAATACCAGCTTTTTTACTGATTAAAAATTGGTTTGGAAGAGTTAGCTTTGTGTAATTCAAGTGTGCTTCTTAATACATAATCTCAGAATTCATTTACCCACCACACTGCAGGATTACTACTGGCAGTTTCTTGGGACATGTCAGAAAGCATTAATAGGAACTTGTCTTTGCAAGAGGGTGGTCCAGCAAAGCATACATATCCAGTTAGTTCTCTCAGGTAACTTCTCCTCCCAAAGCAAGGAGTGATGAAGGGTAGAGAGAAACCAGGCTTATTTCCAGCTGAAGTTCTTCCTCTTAGAAACCTTAAGCAAAGAAAATGAAGCTTCACTCATAACCCTGAATAGTGCTTTTAATTGTTCACAGTGAGACTTTCTTTCAGGTTTTACTCAAGAATGAATCTCAACTTTTACTTAAATACATATATGTATGTATAGTTCATATATATTTAGTACCTATATACGTTTGGTCTTTGACAGTAGACTTTCTATAAAGAACACTTGTCTTATACTCGTCTTGTTCCATGTAACATTTGTCACCAGCTGTCTGTTACTATTCGCGGCCTCAAACAGGTATAATTTTTTAGTTTCCTTTTAATTGTCTTTAAAGGGTCAGCTGCTTTTGCTCTACGGCATTAATTAAACACTAATTTAGAGCCATAGTGACATAATTGTTAGAGAAATGATAAATTACCAATTTCTCTAGTCCCTGCTTTCTTCATCTATAAAGAGTAGATTTTCTATATGATACTATCTAGTTCTGAAGTTCTGATGTCATGTAAACAAACAAAATTCTGTATTCTAATTAAAAATACTGTGAGGGCGCCTGAGTGTCTCGGCAGGTAAAGCATCTGACTCTTGATCTCAGCTAAGGTCTCAGAGTTTCTGAGTTCAAGCCCCACATTGGTCTCAGTGCTGGCAGCACGGAGCCTGCCTGGGATCCTCTCTCTCCCTGACCCTTCCCTGCTTGTTCTCTCTCTCTCTCTCTCTCTCTCTCTCTCTCTCTCTCTCAAAATAAGTAAATTAACTTTTTTAAAAAAACATTTAAAAAAATAAATAAAAATACAGTGAGGTGTAATCTTTTTTGCTTAATAAATGTGCCTCTTCAAAAACAAAATGTTTTATGAATAACATTTAAATGTAGATTAAGGTTCCTATTAAATGTAAGGTTCCTATTAAGGTTCCTATTAAAATTAAGGTTCCTATTAAAATGTAGATTAAGGGGCGCCTGGGTGGCTCAGTTGGTTAAGCATCCGACTTCGACTTCGGGGCCCAGGTCATGACCTCACAGTTGGTGAGTTCGAGCCCCACATTGGGCTCTGTGCTGATGGCTCAGAGCCTGGAGCCTGCTTCAGATTCTGTGTCTCCCTCTCTCTCTGCCCCTCCCCTGCTCTGTCTCTCTCTCTCAAAAATAAATAAACATAAAAAAAAATAAAATAAAATAAACTTGAAAACTGATTTTTTTTTCAGTTTATTTTGTAGGTGATGAAACTAACAAATAGCAGAGTTAAGAAATGTATATTGGGAATAGAATCCAGGTTCATTATATGTACCTACTATACTAAGTTACTTGGTGTAAATGATGTGGGACCATAAGTTTTATCATCTCTACTTACTTACACATACTCTCAATATATATCCATAAGCACCTTAAAATTGTTATAAGGTAAGATTAGGTTTCATTGTCCATATTGTACTTGTTGCATAAGACCTTAACAAAAAGAGTGCTTTTAAAAAGAAGCTAGTATTATTATACTAATATTGTTTAAATATCCCCTTCTGAAGAATTGTATTCATTCATCAGTGTTTTAGTGTCAAGTGATGTTCTGATGGAAACTTTCAGTGTTCAAGATAGAAAAAAAAATCTATTGACAGTTGTATTTTGAGAAGATAACTTTATAAACCAATTTCTATTGAACATAAGCAATCTTAACAGTGGTATTGACAATATAGCCTTAGATGTTTAATTCTTTTTATGTTTAAGTTTTATTTTTTTTATTTTTGCACTCATAGTTAAAAAAATAATGTCAATCCTGTGAATAATATCTTTAACATATTTTATCTTTATGTGTATATATGTTAGATGGAAGATGGTGCTCCAAAGCATATCATCCAGATGACGGGATTTAAGATGGAAGAAAAGGAAGCTCTAGGCAAATTGCTTTTAAAACTAGATTGCACTTTTATTAAGAGTGAGGTGAGTACAGAAACTTACCAACTATTTAAAATAGAATTGAAAAATAATATTGGCCTAAGAATGATAAAATGTCCTCCTGATATTATAAGAATAAAATAAATGTGCTATAAAAGAAATCTTACCTTAGTAACGTTTCTTCACTTGGATTTTTTTCTTCCAGAAATACAAAAATTGTACACATCTTATAGCTGAACGTTTGTGTAAAAGTGAAAAGTTTTTAGCAGCTTGTGCAGCAGGTAAATTAACTAATTTCCTCCTTGAATGAAAATCTTCATGTGAAAAAAGAAGTACCTTCATCACCAAAAGATAGTATGCTTATTATATCAAATAAATGTGGTTTTTCCTGATATTTTTCTGAAAATATGTTATAATATTTTTTTGTTTTATTTTTCTAAGGAAAACTTTGTAACACACGAAAATGTATCAAAGAGGCATAAATCCTTAACTTTACCAAAGACTTAGTGTCTTACATAAATGTTTTATGTCAGAAAAAAAAAAAATTAACAAAAAAGATAGGCACAAAATGCCCCCCCCCAAAAAAAAGCTTTTCTTGAGGTTTCAGTGAACTGTTCTAGTCAAGTTTTCTTTGATCTGTCGTTGAAGAGACTTTGTTCTCCTTCTGCTGCCTCTGTTCCCACCCATGCTATGAAGCAATGATCACGCTGTTTTGTTTTTCTAAGATTTTAATTCCATAAGTCCAACTTGGGATTTAGTGTCCTCCCTTCTATCTTTGTCATCCTTGATGTTCCTTTTATTGTTTCTTTTACTGTGATTGATCTGGCATGTCATCAGTCCACTAATTTTCAGAAAAAAATTATATATAATGCCAGTAAATTTATTATTTTTTAGAGTAACTCACCAAAAGGATACTTGGATTTATTTTTATATCTGAAAATGAAAACCTATACTGTCCATGCTGTTGAAAACAATTATTGATGCCCAGTTAAAGAAGGTGCAAGAGTGTTTGTAAATTTCTTTTACAAAGTGTAACATTGTTGTAAACATCATTGCAAAAGTTATTAGCATAGGAGGAAAAATATAAATCTCAGCCAAATTGGTGAATAGTAATAGTAGACATAATTTAAGTAATACCACATGTATTTTATTAAGCCTTGGGTTTGTATTTTCTTCAGTAATGTTTTTAGACTTAGAATTATTATGGGAAAAATTACATACAATGTTCAGTGACATTGTAACCCTCTACCAAAAATTTGGGGAAACAAACATCATTCAAAGATCGTGTTGGCAACATAGCCTAAAGGTCTCATGTTGAAAAAGGTCAAACTTTATTTGATATTTAGTCCTTATTGTTTACCATTCATTAGAACCAAAATTATTTTGTGACTGACAGTTGATTTGCTTTCTAGGAAAGTGGGTACTAACTAAGGACTACATAATTCATAGTGCCAAAAGTGGCAGATGGCTTGATGAAACAACTTATGAATGGGGCTATAAAATTGAAAAAGACTCTCATTATTCGCCTCAAATGCAATCTGCACCTAAAAGATGGCGTGAAGAGCTGAAACGCACTGGTGCTCCAGGAGCCTTCCATAGATGGAAAGTTGTCCTCCTTGTTAGAGCTGATAAACGAAGTGATTCTCTTGTAAGGTAAGATGAGTTCAATCTCATGAAAGCTAAAGCAATGAACAAAAAAAAACAATTTTGGTTTGCATGAATACCTTTTTGAATTTCTTTGAAATTTGTGATTTAGTCCAATTGAGCTATGATGATTTACTCTTTAAACTCAGAGTTAAGTCATTCTGTACATTTAAGTAAATGTGTCTACTAGAACAAAATCTATTTTATAGTATTGATTTAGATTACTCTTGGGGTTTCTGTTTTAACTTTCCATGTTATTTGTTTTGGGTAACTCAAGCAAAATAAAACTTAAAAGATTTTGATTTTAGTTTTGAAGCAATTTAAATTTTTATAAGTATTACTGAGCCTTTTTCTGGGTCTATATAGTGCAGGCTTCATGGTTCATACTGTTTCCTTTGTTTCTTCCTGTTTTTTACATCGTATTTTTAAAAGTCTTCTGAGTAAACTGTATTCTGGGACTGTGATAACTATTAGGGTTGATGCAAGGGCCTTTTGTCACCTGTACAGAAGTTTTATTTATAGGTAAGTAAAATGTATACATTTTAAGTATACATTTTGATGAATTTGGACAAATTTATATACCCATGTTCCCCCCCCCCACACCCACACTACTGTCAAGATCTGTAACAATTATGTAATTCTACAATGTTCCCTTGTGTCATTGCACATTTAATTTTGCCCCACCAATGTAAGACAACCATTAACTTCCTTTGTGTCACCCACCACACATTAAATTTGTCTTTTTTTTTTTTTTAAGTTCATGTGAATGGAATTCTGTATATACTCCTTTGATATAGTTTCATTTGCTTAACTCATTATTTTTGAGATTCATCCAGGTTATTGTATCATCCAGGTTCATTACTTTTTGTTGCTTAGTAGTATTTCACTTAGCAGATGTATTGCTGTTTATTCACCCATTGATAGACATTTGTTTTTTGTCTTTGTTTTTTTTTTTTTTTTTCATTTGTGCTAATATAAATAAAGCTGCCATGAACATTTGAGTACAAGTCTTCATGTATATTTGTTTTTATCTCTCTTGGGTAAATACCAAGAATGAAATTGCTGACTGAGATGGCAGTTGTATATTTAACATTATAGGAAAATGCCAAACTATTTTCTGAAGTTGTGTAAGATTTCAGTTGCTGTGCAATTACTTTGACACTGTTGTCCAAATATCACTTGACTGTAGTTGTGTATTTCTGGGCTTTTTACTCCACTGGTGTCTGTGTCTGCCTTATACCAAAAACACACAGTTTTGGTTCCTGTAGCTTTATAATGAGTCATGAAGTCAGTGGAGCGAGTCCTCCAAATTTGTCTTACTCAAAATGTTTTTGGTGATTCTGGAACATTTATTTCCTTATACATTTTAGAACCACCTTGTCAATTCCTACAAAAAAAAAAAAAAACAGCTGGGATTCTCATTAGGATTTTATTGGATCTATAGGTCAAATTGGGAAGAATTGAGATCTTAACAATACTGAGTTGTCCTACCTATATACACCATATCTCTCCAAGTCTTTGATTCTGTCATTAAGGTATTACAGTTTTCATGATATAAATATTGAACATATGCTGTTGCATCTGTTGAGATAATCAGCATTTTTCCTTTACTCTGTTAATACGGTAAATTATTTTGATTATATGTAATTCCAGTTAGTTACATACAGTGTAGTATTGGTTTCAGGAATAGAATTTAGTTATTCATCACTTACAGATAACACCCAGTGCTCATCCCTACAAGTGCCTTCCTTAGCCCGTTTAGCCCATCCTCCCTCCTACTTCCCCTCCAGCACCCCTCAGTTTGTTCTCCTTAGTTAAGAGTCTCTTATGGTTTGCCTCTCCCTATTTTTATCTTAATTTTATTTTCCTTTCCTTCCCCTACGTTAATCTGTTTAGTCTCCTAAATGCCACACACATGAGTGAAATTATGATATTTGTCTTTCTCTAACTGACTTGCTTCATTTAGCATAATATACTGTAGTTCCATTCATGTCCTTGCAGTGGCAAGATTTCATTCTTTTTAATGGCTGGGTAATATTTCATTGTATGTGTTTACCAGATCTTCTTTATCCATTTATCAGTTGATGGACATTTAGTCTCTTTCCATAACGTGACTATTGTTTATAGTGCTGCTATAAATATTGGGGTGCATGTGCCCCTTCAAATCAGTATTTTTGTATCCTTTAGATAAATACCTAGTAGTGTAAGTGTTGGACCATAGCGTGGTTCTAGCTTTAACTTTCTGAGGAACCTCCATACTGTATTCCAGAGTGCCTGCGCCAGTTTGCATTCCCAACAGGTAAGCAGGTTCCCCTTTTCCCACATCTTTGCCAGTATCTCTTGATTTGAGTTATTAATTTTAGCCATTCCAATAGTTGTGAGGTGGTATCTCATTGTGGTTTTGATTTGTATTTTCTTGATGATGAGTGATGTTGAGCATTTTTTCATGTGGCTGTTAGCCATTTGTATGTCTTCTTCGGAGAAGTATTCATGTCTTCTGCCTATTTTTTTACTGGATTTTTTGTTTTTTTGGGGGTGTTTGATAAGCTCTTTATAGGTTTTGGATACTAATTCTTTACTAGATAATGTCATTTGCAAATATCTTCTCCCATTCTCTAGGCTGCCTTTTAGTTTTATGGATTGTTTCCTAGCTGTGCAGAAACTTTTTATCCTGGTGAAGTCCCACTAATTCATGTTTGCTTTTGTTTTCCTGGCCTCTGGAGATGTGTCTAGTAAGAAGTTGCTACAGCTCTGGTCAAAAAGATGGTTGCCTGTGCTCTCCTGTAGGATTTTGATGGTTTCCTGTCTCACATTTAGGTCTTTGATCCATTTTGAATTTATTTTAGCGTGTGGTATAAGAAAGTGGTTTAATTTCATTCCTTTGCATGTTGCTGTCCAGTTTTCCCAACACTATTTGTTGAAGAGACTATCTTTCCCATTGGATATTCTTTCCTGCTTTGTCAAAGATGAGTTGACCATATAGATGTGGGTGTATTTCCGGGTTTTCTATTCTGTTCCATGGATCTCTGTGTCTGTTTTTGTGCCAGTGTTATACTGTCTTGATGACTACAGCTTTGTGATGTAACTTGAAGTCTGGAATTGTGATGCCTTCAGCTTTGGTTTTCTTTTTCAACATAACTTTGCTTATTCAGGTTCTTCTCTGGTTCCATACAAATTTTAGGATTGTTTGCTCTAGGTATGTGAAAAATGCTGGTGGTATTTTGCACTGGGGATTTGCACTGGTATTTTACACTGGGGATTGCACTGAATGTGTACAATGCTTTCAATAGTATAGACATTTTAACAATATTTGCTCTTCTGATTCATAAGCGTGGAATGTTCTTCCATTTCTTTGTGTCATCTTCAGTTTCTTTCATAAGTGTTCTATAGTTTTCAGAGCACAGATCTTTTGCCTCTTTGGTTGGATTTATTCCTAGTCTTAAGGTTTTTGGTGCAGTTGTAAATGGGATCAATTCCTTAATTTCTCCTTCTGCTGCTTCATTATTGGTGTATAAAATGTAGCAAATTTTCACACATTGATTTTGTATCCTGCCACTTTGCTGAATTCGTGTATCAGTTCTGGCAATTTTTTGGTAGAGTCTTTCAGGTTTTCCAGATAAAGGATCAAGTCATCTGCAGAGAGTGAGAGTTTGACTTCTTCCTTGCCAGTTTGAATGCCTTTTCTTTTTGTTGTCTGATAGCTGAGGTTAGGATTTCTAGTACTATGTTGAACAACACTGGTGAGAGTGGATGGCCCTTTCTTGTTGCTGACGTTAGGGAGAAAGCTCTCAGGATTTCCCCACTGAGGATGAGAGTAGTTGTTAGTCTTTCTATTATGGCCTTTATGATGTTGAGATACATTCCTTTTATCCCTGTTTTCTTGAGGGTGTTTACGAATAAAAGGATGCTGTATTTTGTCAAATGCTTTTTCTGCATCTATTGAGAGGATCATTTGGTTATCGTTTCTTTTATTAATATATGACATTGATTTATGATAATTCTTTTAATGTACTCTTGGACTTGCTAGTATCTTGTAGAGAATTTTGTTTTGATGTACATCAGGGATATTGGTCTGTAATTCTCCTTTTTAGTGACTTCTTTGGTTTTGGAGTCAAGGAAATACTGGCTTCATAGAATGAGTTTGGAAGTTTTCCTTCTGTTTCTGTTTTTTTTATAAATTTTTTTTTTCAACATTTATTTATTTTTGGGACAGAGAGAGACAGAGCATGAATGGGGGAGGGGCAGAGAGAGAGGGAGACACAGAATCGGAAACAGGCTCCAGGCTCTGAGCCATCAGCCCAGAGCCCGACGCGGGACTCGAACTCACGGACCGCGAGATTGTGACCTGGCTGAAGTCGGACGCTTAACCGACTGCGCCACCCAGGCGCCCCGTCTGTTTCTGTTTTTTAGAATGATTTTGAAAAAATAGGTAGTATTTCTTTAAATGTTTGGTAGAATTCCCCTGGGAAGTCATCTGGCCCTGGACTCTTGTCTGTTGGGAGATTTTTTGATTACTGATTGAATTTCTTTACTGGTTATGGTTCTGTTCAAGAACCAGCTATTAGTTTTATCTATCTGTTCTACCTTTTTTTTTTAATTATTCCTATGTGATTTATTTCAGCTCTAAATTTTATTATTTCCCTTTTTCTGCTAGTTTTGGGCTTCATTTACCATTATTTTTCCAGATCCTTTAGGTGTAAGGCTAGGTTGTGTATTTGAGACTTTGCTTCCTTTTTGAGGAAGGCCTGAATTGCTATATACTTCCCTCTTAGGACCGCCTTTGCTGCATCCCAAAGGTTTTAGACTGTCATGTTTTCACTTTCTTTGGCTTTCATGTATTTTTTTAATTTCTTCTTTAATTTTCTGGGTTAACCCATTCATTCTTTAATAAGATGTTCTTTAACCTCCATGTATTGGTGGTCTTTCCAAATTTTTTCTCGAGTGACTTCAAGTTTCATAGCGTTGTGGTCTGAAAATATGCCTGATATGATCTCAGTCTTTTTGTACTG